AGGAGGAGAAGGACCTCGGAGTCCTGGTTGATTATAGAATGACTATGAGCCGCCATTGTGACATGGCCGTGAAAAAGGCTAATACGATCTTGGGATGTATTAGGCGAGGTATTTCCAGTAGGGATAAGGAGGTGTTAGTGCCATTATACAAGGCATTGGTGAGACCCCCATTTGGAATACTGTGTGCAGTTCTGGTCTCCCATGTTTAAGAAGGATGAATTCAAACTGGAACAGGTACAAAGAAGGGCCACTAGGATGATCCGAGGAATGGAAAACCTGTCTTATGTAAGGAGACTCAAGGAGCTTGGCTTGTTTACTTTAACCAAAAGAAGGCTGAGGGGGGACATGATTGCACTTTATATATTAGAGGGATAAATACCAGGGAGGGAGAGGAATTATTTAAGTTTAATACCAATGTGGACACAAGAACAAATGGATATAAGTTGGCTAGTAGGAAGTTTAGACTTGAGATTAGACGAAGGTTTCTAACCATTAGAGGAGTGAGGTTCTGGAACGGCCTTCAAAGGGAAGTAGTTGTGGCAAAAGATCTATCTGGTTTCAAGATGAAACTAGATGGGTTTATGAAGGGGATGGTTTGATGAGATAACATGATCTTGGTAGCTAATTGACCATTCATTATCAGTGGGAAATAGGTCAATGGAGGGATGATAGGAGTTACTATAGAGAACTTTCTGGGTGTCTGGCTGATGAGTCTTGCCCACATGCTCAGGGTTTAGCTGATCGCCATATTTGGGGTCGGGAAGGAATTTTCCTCCAGGGTAGATTGGAAGAGGCCCTGGAGGTTTTTCGCCTTCCTCTGTAGCATGGGGTACAGATCACAGCTGGAGGATTCTCTGCATCTTGGGGTCTTCAAAGTATTTGAAGGTTTCAATATCTGAGATATAGGTGAGAGGATTATTCTAGGAGGGGTGGGTGAGATTTTGTGGCCTGCACTGTGCAGGGGGTCAGACTAGATGATCATAATAGTCCCTTCTGACCTTAAAATCTATGAGTCCATGAGTCTATGGCACTGTTGTAGCTGGCATTGCATTTGTGTGCTCCTTCATGCTTCAATTTACAAATTTTAATCTTGTTTACAGAGAAAATATTTATAATAAAAATAATAATAAAGTGAGCAGTATACACAAAGTATTTTGTTATAATTGAAGTCAAACTATTTGAAAATATAGAAAAACATCCAAAATATTTATAATAAATTTAAATTGGTATTCTATTATTATTTAACATGCAAATAAAACTATAATTAATCACAACTGTATTTTTACCTTTCACAATGAATTGTGATTACTTTAAAAAAAATCTTTAACAACTAATTAAAATGCATAATTTTTTCATTGTTCAACTAAGAATGAATTGTTTTTAGGCAGGAAAAAAATATACTATAATAATATTTTAAAGCTCCAGGATGCATAATAAATATTTTATAATAGCTGTAGAGAAAAATGAGATGAATTTGAAATATCAGTCATTAAATATAGATTAAAAGCTAAAGCAATTAACTGTTGTTAAAATTTAATTATCTCTATTAGTTAAATGAACAGGATAGTTTTTGTTTTAAATGGCAATTATAAAATGCTATTTTACTTTGAGCTCCTTGACAAGTTCATATGCACATATCTGCAAGCTGTTTATAAAACTGTCAGAGCACTATGCAGGTTACAGCCATTAATGTGAAAGAATATTTCAGATACTTTTAAATCAATGAACTATTGTATTTATCGTTTAAATTAAAATTAAAATCATGCATGTTTGTGTGTGTGTTGACACTTGAATTTCAAGTAAGTTTATTTATACAAATCTATATTCTAATAAATGTAACTGAAATATTTCAAATAGCAGCTGACCTTATATTTTAAACTATACACTATGAAGTTGTTAATTAAGTTGCTTGCTATGAATTGATTATCCTGCTTTTAAAAATATATATACCTGCTTTGTAATATTTCCAAATAATATTTTGGTACACTAATGACTTGGTATTTAAGAATGTGGTGCAACTCTCCATATAACAGAAGCTCTTCCTTTATCTGCCCCCCTAAAGTATTTCTTTGCTTCAAAAATCAAAAAGGAGAGAGCAGGGTTGCAAAATTTGAAAAGGATATGCATAGTTTGGACAATAACATTTTTTTTCACAAAACTGTTGTCTTTTAAAAAAGAAATTGGCTTTGAAATGTTTTAGGTTGCCTCTCATAAAAGTTCCCATATCTTATTGTTACTTAGTCGTGTAATTAAATGGTTATATATAATCAGTTTCATTTTGAGGCAGTCATAGCATTTGGGTCCTCTGCTTCATGGCAACATTATGGCTCTCTACTGAAAAGTAATAGTTTAGGCCTAGGGAATATGTAAGTCTAATTTATTCTTGTTTATCCCTGAGACTCTGAGAAATCCTCCAAGGGAGTTCATGAGGGAACTGCTTCTCAAATATGGTAGGTTTAGGCCCTAACAATGTAAACCTCTATACCTCGGTGGAATGCTCGACTTGTGTGTAACCCCACCGAAATGAACACTTTTTTAACATACATGGTGGTGGCTGACTGCAGCACTGAGGACATTTCAAGATTGGGACCCCAAGTCACAATCATAAAATTGGATTGACATGTCTTTCCCTTAATGGGCTATTGCTTTTTACAAACAATTCTTACAGTTTGGATGGGATTAACTGCCTTTACTAAGGGAAAAATGTATGTATCAAAGTCAGTTAACCTATTACAGATTTGGTTAGATGGATTTCTCTGTATTGGAGGTACTTGAATGAATACAAAACCAAAGTGTGTGACACATTTTTCAGACTTTTCCTTAATTATCACTTCCGCTGATCTACCTTTATTTTATATGTCCCTTGCTAGTATAATTAGCTTGTGATTTATGGTTAACATCCTCATACATGGGGATTATTATATCATAGTAGTATGGTCAGCATAATAGGAATCTTGGAATAGCTAGTGATATTTTTCTTGGAAAATAACATATCCCACAGAACACATCCTATCTCCATATATTTGCTTTAATTATCAGAGGAGAAGACTAAAGTACAGATTGAAAGGTTTAGTATTGGCTGATTTAAAGCACACCATTTCCACAACCCCTGTAATGCAACTTTTTCTCTATGGCAGTCACAGTATTGACTAAAATCCATACTCTACATTTTAAATATAATGATTAGTCTTTACATTGTAAGAAGCAGTGCCACCACTGTGTAAAATGAAATTGTCTTTCTTTGTGTGGGAGGAGTGAGGGGAGTGAATCGGAGGCAGTGGGAGAATTTGCTTTTAAATGGTCAAGCATACAACAGGAGTCTTGTTTGAATGTTCAGGGTTACAAAATGATCAAGAAGAATTATTGCTTAGTGCCAGTAAATCAAAACTTATTGGAGATATAATTTTATTACTAGCTTTTTTGACCATTACTTAGAGGGAGAGGAAATGCAGGTATAATTATTTATTGTCTGATTATCATTACTTTCTATGCAGTTATTTTCTCTAAGGGCAGATACTGTAGTCTTCCTATGGACTATAAATGTGTGGTAAAGTAAAAATGTAATCATTTTACTTTCTGCTATCAAATCTTTCTGATGGTTTAAAAGTTAGAATCAGCTACATGGCTAAAATGAGTGACACCAAAAATAGTCCTACTCCTAGAAAGTGAGTTCTTAAATCAAAGAGAGAATAGAGCATGAAAGTAAAACTGAAGTTGTGGTCACTTAAGGTAATTACAAGCAGGTATTGCAGAACTTAAGCATAATATATTTAATAGCTATTACTTGTTAATACTATTAAACATAAGTGAGTGCATATAAATGGGGATATAATATGGAAAATTGTTAGGCAGTGTGGAATTCCAGTGAAACAGATCAACGTAATGAAGACATTTTATACTAACTCCAAATGTTGTATTACAATGGATAGGGTTAAGTGAGTCATTTGAAATTAAGATAGGTAAAACAAGGGAGCATCCTGTCTCCATTCTTGTTCTTTCTCCTCATTAATTATGGCCTCAAGGGATGTGAGAATAATCAATACATCTTAAGGTGGAATCATTCGAGATTACTCGATCTAGATTTCACCGATGACATTGCTCTTTTACATGAAAATGCTGAAGGACTTCAATCATGCACAAATGAAGTTAAAGCAATGATGGGAAAGGTAGGACTGATTTAATATAAAGAAATGTAAAACCATAGTCATTGGAGATATAGATTTAAATATCAAAACTGAGGATGAACTGTTAGAGAGGGTGTAGATTAATTCAAATATCTTGGAAGCACAATAAGCCAAGGTGGTACATGTTTTGAGGAAATAAGAATAAGGATCAGAAAAACAAACACAGCCTTCAATAAACTTAGGAGTATTTGAAAACTTAATACCATATCCTTACATACAAAACTAAATGTCTACTCAGCTGTTGTTGTAGCCATAGCAACCTACAGCAATGAAATCTGGTAATTTAAGAAAACAGATACTCAGAAGTTGGATGCATTTTATTATAAGTGCTTATGGAGAACATTAGAAGTAAGCTATGAGGAAATTAAAGCAAATGATGAGGTCAAAAAATGGCTAATGTGCGGCCTCTACCACAAATAATTTGTAAGAGAAGACATCAGTGTCTAGGGCATGAATTAGAAATGGATCATAACTGACTACCAATTATGGCTTTGAGTTGGAAGCCAGAAAATCCAACAAGAAAGAAGGGTACACATAGGATGACTTGGAAGTGTACTTTACTAATGACATAGAAAAAAATTAATTTGAAATGGGAGGACTTAGGTCACATGGCAACTCATAAGCAAGCACAGAGAAGGTGGTTAGTCCAGTGTGCTGAAAAATACTGGCTGGACTAAGGTTTAAGGACTATTAAATATATTGAAGCTTAATTCTTGTTTTTCAAATCAGTAAAAGCCACAAAAGTTTCACATTAGACAATAATGAAACAAGCGTAGTAATTTATAATACCTTACTCGGATTTTATTTTTCTTTAAGATGGGTCCGTATGCATATCCCTCTGCTTAATCCTACATATGAAACCCTAGAACTGGAAATTGTCAACAGCAATCCTGAACATTTTTCTGTAGAGACGGATCCAAGGAAACCTGTAAGTACTTATAAACAAACAAACGAACAAACAAATAAACAAAAAAACTTTGCTTTCATACAATAGGGACATAGTACAGGTTGAACCTCTCTATTCCAGCACCTTTGGGACCTGTCTGGTACCAAACCAGAGAATTTGCTGGACCGTGAGAAGTCAATATTGTCTAGCAACACTTCCATTGCTTACTAGGCTCTTAGAAGGAATTTAGGGGTAAATTAGAGCTAAGTAACAGCATAGAATAGCAAAAGCCAGGACTGGTAGCTGTAAACAAATTTTATGGGATATGGGAAACTTGGCCACACCTAAGTTATGGCCACGCCACAGTTATTGCTGGACCAGAGAGTGCCAGACTAGAGAAGTTCAACCTGTCGAATTGTTCCTATTGATGAAAAAGTTTGTTAATTACATAGTGCATTAAAAATATACAGCATTGTACAGAGTGTTAAATGTGCCATATAAATAAGTACATATGTCCTAGAGAGGTTTACAGCCTAAAGGCAAGAGGAGACGTAAAACTGTGAAATATGATCAGAAAATAAACTCAGTATGGACATTTCTGGAGTGCTTTGTGGAGTACTTTTTGAAGGAGCAGAGTGTGTGTTTGGCAAACATTGATTTGAGAAGGCATAAAATCAGCAGGTGTTGGAAGCAAGTAGATCAATCAACCAGTGGTGGTGGAACAGTTTGTATAGTGGGAATGCTGAGAGCCATTGAACCAAACTGTAAACCTTGTATATAATGAAACCACTTCAAGTCAGGGGATACTGCTACGCCTCTAGTTTCAGCACCTATACAACCAAGACAGAAGATTGAGAAAACAGAAGGAGTTAGAATGAGGAAGGAAAACAATGAGATAAGAGATGCAGGTTAGAGCAGATTTGTGCAGGGAATTGTGACCTGGGAACGGATTTAGTGTGGAAAGAAAGAAGTTAGTGAAGAACTGTTGGGAATAAGTCCAGACACTTTGGATGCGGTGAAACAAGCAAGAGGATTTATTGCACACAACGCTGGTGGAGTCTCCCTCAGCTAATTAGGCTGGTGAACACTGCCTAAGCAAAACATTAAAATAGATTATATAGGGGGCTGATGGACGGATGTGAAGACGTTGGATGGGTTCTAGCAGCTAGACGAAATGAGCACGTAAGCCAATAAGCGAAGAAGGTTACACAGCATCTCCGCCCATCGTCAGTAAAACACCTTATCTCTAATACAAGTAGTTTTCTTTAATAAGCTAAATAAGCCAACATAAACAAACAGACAATTAAATGGCAACTTTTGTCTAGTTAAATTATGATGCGTCTGTGAAGAAGTTAATGGTGCCTTGCGCTGATGTGATCCATGAGTTTATGGGCCCTTTATCTAGGATTAAAGCGAAACATGTTAGCAAGGCTGTTTCAGTATCAGTCTGTGTCATCTGGTACGGCCCCTTGGAATGTGCTTGCCAGGGCGACCGTGCCTTTCCCAGGGTCATGCTAATTCATGCTAACTGCCCGTCCTGTTAGGTTTACAGGCCCGTCTCAGATTTTATGATTGAATAGGGGTTCTTAGCGAATAGGGGTTCTTACCATGGACTGCCTCAGTTTACCACCCTGCAAGAGCAGAGATGTAAGACTTATCTTGGCAGCAGTGTGTTCAATAAAGGGCGAGGAGGGGGAGGGGGGGGAGATAGATGAGGTTCAGGGAAGCCAGAGAGAAGGAAGTTACTGTAGAGGAGATAAGAGATTACCAAAACATCAACCAAGAGTCTAACAACAGAGATGGAGAAAAAAGAATGCTCTATTAGAGATGCTTTAGAGAAAGGAGTGACAACAGTTGATAAGAATCTATGCAGAAAAGGAAAGAGGGAATTTTCAATAGTTAAACTCGTCTCAAGAATGAAAAGTAGCAGTACAAATGAAAAAAAATATATATATAATAGAGAACTGGAGAGCTAATTAACCTAATGAGTTTTGAGAACTTTAAATGTTTACTCCATGAGGCATTTAGTGATGAGCTCAGGATTGATTGGAAATTTACAAGGTTCTTAAATCCATAGATAATGACATTCAGAGTGTTCCCCTCTCAATAGAATATGTTCTTACAATATATATGTACAAATACATCCTCTAATATTTTGAGCTTTCCTGTAAGCTATGTCAATACCTCTTATGATGAATGTGATGAGATTCTTTTTCTGCTGTTATAATAATGTCTTTACACTAATTCAGAACAATTGTATAACTCTTTTTTGGTTAGTATTTCAAAGCAATTATATAGTTGATAAGTATATCTCTAGTAAGATTTCAGGGGTACCCCCATGATGTTTACAGTTATTTTGCAAACACCGTCACTATTCCATTCCTCTCCCGAGCAGACAGATTTCCAGTGTGAACATCAAGGCTGTGTTCAGACTCAGGTGTTTTTTCGAAAAAAGTAGCCTTTTTTCAAAAAAACTTCACCTGTGTCTAGACTGCAGCCGCGTTCTTTCGAAATTAAATCAAAAGAACGTGGCTTTTCTTTCGACGGCGGTAAACCTCATTTCACGAGGAAGAACGCCTTTTTTTGAAAGTGCTCTTTCGAAAAAAGGCGTTCTTGAAAGCAAACAGGGCTTTTTAGAAAGAGAGCATCCAGACTCACTCGCTGCTTTCTTTCGAAAAAGCAGCTTGCTTTTTCAAAAGTTCCGCGTGCAGTCTAGACACTCTCTTTCAAAAGAGGCTTGCAGTCTAGACATAGCCAAGGGCTCATGTAAATATAGTGCCTCCCCAAAACAAATCTTACGACTGAAACCCAGTTTGGACTTGTGCAATATTTCCCCAGGGTAAAGAAGATTAGCTAAAATGATGACCAGATGCACAGTTTTTCAGTCAAGGGATTCCAGGGAAACAGGGAAATCAGTCCTCAACAGGAAAAGAATTCTTCTTACTCTAGCCAGCTAGAGAGAAACCCTGGAACAGTTAATTCTACAAATTGATGTTCACATGGAGAACATTTTCTCCTATAAAAAAATATTTAGCCTCCTACTGCTCTATACATCCTTTTTCCTTTCCTATCACTGCATTCCTCTCCCTGTGGTCCCATAGTCTATAAGCTGGCCAAATTTTGTGTACTTTTAAGAAGAGATTTATTTGATTATTGATGTACTCGGCTGCTGAGCACCTTCTGCTCTCATTTAAGTGATGTGGAGCTATTTATCCTTTCTGAGAATCAAAACATTATTTTTTTTAAATGCTTACTCATGATAAACACCTTAGTTAGCCTATTGTGCTTATTGTGTCCCGGACGTTAGTGTTGTGTAAGGGGACTAAGAATGAGTGAGTCTTCTGAGGAAGGTTAGATTTTGAGTTTTATAGGTACGCTGCATTAAATTTTGATTATACAACTTTTTGTTTTCAGTATTCGTATCACTCATTATACCATTCAGGTACTTATCTCTCATTATACCTTTCAGAGCTACTTAGTTCTTGTATTTTCACCATCCAATTTTGTGTATTTTCTCATATTTTAGACTGCAAGCATTGTTATTGGATAGCTTCTGATTTCCGTATTAAGTGTCATAAGAGGATTAAAGCCTTGCATTCAAAGCGTGAATTCTCTTCTTCCAAGTGAAGGCATGCTGTATTTTTAAATCTAGAAGACTTTCCCTCTGAGAGAATCTTACAGGATTTCAGTAGTTTATTTTCTCTTGCCTATAGTCTTTCCCAGAAGACTAGGTAGGGACAGTCTTGTATTTAAGCTAGCCTGCAGGTGTCCCAACTTAAAAACAAACAAAACAAACAACAACAAAACCCAAACAGGCAAATTGCACATATTTTCTCTCTCCCATCAGGTCTGGTAGATCCTGCTGCTGGCTGGATCCCTGCATGCCAGTCATCTGCCTACCAGCAATGAGTGAGGGATTTTAGTAGCTGACATTTGGGGATAGAAGTACAATACTAATGGCAGGGCAAAGCTGCAGTATGCAGTGCTGGTACTCCCCCTGCTATCTCATCAGCAAAGCTCCCACTGCATGCTAGCTCTCAGCTAGCAGTACCCCCATCCCATTTCCAGTCAGCTCTGGGTGTGCCCTGTGAGCTGTGATGCCTGGTGATTGCAGGCAGCTGCCAGGCAGCAGTTGATTACATGTCCTCTCTGCTGCCTACCCATGATGCCTTTACATGTCCCCCACTTCTCGTCCATATCCCCCCTGGCAGGACACATCCCACTCCCAGTGTTGAGTGGAGAACCACCTCCTAGGTGGAGTGCTTATCTTACCAACAGCCTGGCCAGCAGGCTCCTTCCTTCTTCCACAGCCATTGGCTGAGCCAGTATATATGAGTCAGTATATATATACTGAGCCAGTATGCTATCAGCACTTCTAGCTACTTCCGTGACACCACTGACTTCCTGAGGAAACTTCAGAACATCAGTAATCTTCCTGAAAATACCATCCTAGCCACCATGGATGTAGAAGCCCTCTATGCCAGTGGTTCCCAAACTTTTCAGCATCACACCCCCCTTTCTGATTTTTGAAAAACCCTAACCCTTCCCCTCCCAAAAAAGGAACTGAGCAGGGCAGCAAAACTTGATGGGGGGGGCTGGGTTGCCTCATGCCCCCCTGGAATTTCTGCATGCCCCCCAGTTTGGGAACCCATGCTCTACACCAACATTCCACATGAAGACGGATTACAGGCTATCAAGAACACCATCCCAGATAACAACACTGCAGCCTGATTACAGAGCTCTGTGACTTTGTCCTCACTCACAACTGCTTCCAATTTGGAGATAATTTCTATCTCCAAGTCAGTGGCATAGCCATGGGCACTCACATGGCACCACAATATGCCACATCTTTATGGCTGACCTTGAGCAACGTTTCCTCAGCTCTCGCCCACTAACACCCCTACTTTATTTATGCTACATCGATGATATCTTCATCATATTGACCAATGGAAAAGAGACTCTTGAAGAATTCCACAAGGATTTCAACAACTTCCAACCCCTCCATCAACCTCAGACTGGACCAATCCACACAAGAAATCTAC